CGTAACAGGCTGGATCAATGCAAGTTACAGGCTGCATCGGGCCCACGGGCTCTGCCTAGCAGGGGAGAGGAAGTGGTTCTTCATTCTGATGTCATCCCCTACTCCCTCTGGCTGGGGAAATGGCAGCTCAGAGAAGCTCTGGTCATGTGCTCACATGCGGTTCTACCACAGGGGAATGGTCAGAGGCCATCTGGGGGACCACCAGCCATGCAACTCCTCCCCCAACACAGGGAAGGGTCAGGACCATTCCTCTTCACCTCTGCTCTACTCTTCCCTCTCTTCGAGCAAACCCGCAGCCGTGGCGGGGTCCCACGCTTCTGAGGCTTTGCTCTGGCAAAGCCTCAGAAGCGCGGGAACCCGCCCGGTGCCCCTGGTCTGCTGGAGACGGTCTCCAGCAGACATGGGGCACCGGAGCAGCTTACGAACGGGGCTTTCTCGCCCCGACTTCCGGGGCGAGAAAGCTCCGTTCGTAAGTGCGGATCCGACATAAGTCGGATCCGCGTAAGTCGGGGACTGCCTGTACTGGGATAACAGTTAAGAAGATTACAAAACACATCAGCAAAACATTTTTGAAATCTCAAGTAAAGTTGTCTAACATCCCAACGACAAAAAATAATCTGAATTGAAGAATTCTGGTGTATGGTAAAAATAGTTGCAAGCAGGATGCAACTGTGCTGATGTGAATTTCAGGTCACTACTTTTTGGGAATTTTTTTTTTTTTTTTTTTTTAACAGCTGGAACACAAGCCTCCCTCAGTCTCTCTTCCTTTTCTGAAACAACAATTATATGTAGGCATACTATTTGTGTTACTTTAAGCACAATAACTATAGCTTGTGAGGATGAACTCTATACTGAATTGTTACCAGAAAATTCTGGATTTAAAGAATGTGGATTATGCATCAAAAAGATTAAAATACATATTTTAGCATTTCCATCTCTGAGAAAGTAACAGTTCAGAGTAGAGCAATTTTGGGGCTTAAAATATTAGCAGATACATCTAAAAAGTGACACTCTCCTGCTCCTCTCTTCCCTCACGCCTCAATTTTTTTTAAAAAGTAAAGGCTTATTGTGCACATATACTGAGTCATTCAAATTGAAGGACATATCAAAGAAAATACTACCTTATAACTGGAAGGATCGTCTGGATTAAAATAGTGGAATGGGGATGAAGCCTTTTAAGATTTAGTGCAATAAAATGGGATTAGCCCTGTCTCTCCAGATATTTAAGACAGGACCTTTTGTCAAGGAAATGATTATAGACCTCTTCATTTAGCGAACCCCCCCCGCCCCCCAGGGTACAGGGCTGGAGTATGTGCCTTGATAAAGAGAAGTTAGGCTCTCAAACAAGGGGGGTAAGGATTGAAGAGTTAGAAAATTACATGGTACAATAAATGAAATCTAGTGGTACTGCTGTTGCACTAAACCTGCAATGAAGTAACAAAGGAGCACCAAGCCCTACAGAAGTATTGCTGTACTGAATCAGGTTGAAATGTATTATTTAGTTATAACCAGACTAATATATGTTAGTATGTGACAGACTGCGCAAACCCACTCTTCCACTCTATAGAACACATTTGGATAAACAGAAAATTCAAAATTCAATCACAATTTGCCCTATTCTGCAGTTTCAGCAAGGAATTCCTCAAATTTTTAAAGGGCAGAACTACCTGTTAGCAGTCAAGAAGCAAAAGAGCACAGTTGATAGATTGTGTTCTGCCCCAAGAGTGACATTGTGCCAACTGTTTAATATAATTTTCACATAACCATAAACTTGTGACCAAAGCAGTGCTGATGGAAGAACACAGAAACGAACAACACTTGGCACTGGTGGCTTGGGTAGTCAGTTTCTTCAGGGTATCTAGGCACAGAGCTGGATGGGGTGCTGCCAGAATCCCTCCAGATAATAGTACTGGAGGGCAGTGATCTCATAGATGATCTTGCTGCAGTTGACTGTGGGGAGGAAAAGGTGAGCATGCAGTGCCTGGGACTAATATTGGGTCCCTCACCTTGTGGTGGTGATGCTTCTCTCTCAAGCACGCTTTCCTTCCTGGGATGCAACAAGGGGAAGTGCAGTAGAGGGGGTGCCTCACTGCATGTTTAGAGCCAATGGTGCTAAAACAGCAGAACCTACTGAGAAATACTTGCAACCTTCCCATTGCATAGTCTAACACGTGAGATTCAGCCTGACCTGCAGTAACGAGAGACAGGGTGCCAACTGCAAGACTGCATGGAACCTGGTAGCTCTGAAAGGGACTGCAAGTGCAATACCTAGAATCAGTATTATTTTTATGATGACCAACTTGCCATATAATTCTTTAACCTTCTCAGTAGTATCTAACTCCACTTTTAGACCCACACCTGCTCTACCTGATATAAGGCTATAAATGTTCTCTGATCATGTCCCTTCCCTGACGGCTACAGCAGATGCCCCAAATAATTAATAAACCTTAATTTTCCACTTTAATATTCAAATTGTTGTAGAAGTTTTTTTTCACTAGCAGTGCACAAACCTTGTCTGAAAATGTTACTGGGGTACTCAATAAACACTTGTCTTTTTCTCGTCTGTTGTGCTGTGTGAACTTCTTCATTATTAAAATATCCCTTATTTAATATGCCATGCAGCTAGAATGGGAGGGTTTTTTTTGGCTATTTGTTTTGCCACCAAGATATGAAATATGATTACAATAGGGATTGCTAATTATAATGCCACTTTATATTATGTGTTCCGGATGTCTTGGATACTGTGATTAGACTAATTTTATCTGCTAAACTAACCGCAGACTGCTATAAGTAAGAGGAACAATCATCTTTTGTGAAGGAAACTGACTCTTCTATGATACAGGTAATTCTAGCATTATAAACTTGTCTAAATTATGTCAGTTTAAGATATATAAAATCTTAAAGTGATTTTGTCTAATAACATTATAAAGATTATTCTCCCTTGTATCTATAGGTTATAACAGTGCTCCCAAATGGGTGGGAGAAGGGGAGCACAGTTAGGCAGGACATGGGTCATGGCATGGGCCACATGGGAGGTGGGGAGAGAGTGCCACCTAGCCCATTCCACCCCAAACTGCAGCTCTGCTCTGCCCCCAGCTGCACATCACCCCTATTCTCTCTCTGTCCCTGTTCTGCCCCCAGCTTCTCAAGTGAACCCACTGCGCTGCAATGGACAGGTATAATGTAGAGGGTGTGTTTGTGTATGTGTGCATGCACACATGTGCATACATACAGAGTCTAATGCTGGGGGAAGTTCAGGAATGTGACAGGAAAAGTCTGGACCCCACTGCTTTATAAGGAATTTCCAACTTTTAATCCCCATTTCATTTTGTGATAAATTTGTATCAACTAGGGACATGAAATAGTGGTTAGGAAGTTAATCGAGTAGTTGAGAGTATTTCCACTGACTACTTGATTAGTCAATATGGGGGTTTGCTGCAGCTCTGCTTTTTAAATGTAGAAAGAGCGGCTCGTCTCTTATTTAAAAAGCGGCAGAGCTGCAGTGTCTGGGACCTGGCGTGAGCCAGGACTCAGCTGTCCTGGCTCGCGCTGTTTCCCCTGCTGCACCTCTGCCTCCCCTGTCCCCTGCGGAGATGATGCTGTAGGGAACCAGCTTTTAAACTGGCTCCCCCCCAGCACCGGCTCCTGCTCCTCTGGACTTTAGAGGCAGCAAGGGGGCGGGGAGTGACTAGTCAAGTAGTGAGTTGACTACTCAATAAGCCTAGGCTTAGCGGGTAGTTAATAGCTGTTTACATCCCTAGTGTTGACTACACGATCAGACGATAAGGAGCTACCCCCGCAGCGGCTCTGCCGTTTAAATGTAGTAAGAGCCAGGTGCACAGGCAGCCTGGCTCCTAATACGTTTAAACTGCAGAACCACAGCGGGGTTAGCTCCTGTTCAATCCCAACTTGTGCCAGGTCCAGAAGCCCCTGTCCGTAGGGGTCCCAATTGAGAATTGGAACCCCCAAAGAGAGGGGCTGCTTCGCCATAGCAGTGCCTGTCTGCGGGTGGTCCCAACTCCCCGATGGGACTCCCTATGGACAGGGGCTACTACCAGAGCAGCCTCCCCTATCTCCCCACCCCACACTGATAGAGGCAGCAGCAAGGGGGAGAGAAGCAACACAGCTGAGAGGGTCCTGGGAAGAACCAGCTTTTAAGCCAGCTCCCACCAGCTTCTGCTTCCCCCCTTGCTGCCTCTGATATAGAGATAGTGGGTGGGAAATGTAAAAGAATAGACTAGTCAACTACTCACATCCCTATTTCAGAGTGCTCAGTGTTGTCTCTGAATTAAGTGCTGTAGTTTTTTGTGGCATATCTAAAGGAAGCTTGTTAACTTCTAATCTCATCTACTGACATTGTTCAAGAGCAGTTCAAATAAAAATTAAGCCTGTAATGTAAAGTTGAATAAAAAATGTTAGAAGATGCTTAGAAACAACTTTAACTATGGAACCAGCTTCTTGACTTAAAATTATCTGAAGTTTTCCAATATGACTAACCTGTTGGGACTCGATTCTTCCCACTCTGTCCTCGATGACTCCCTTAGGTTGTGTCGCATACCCTCAAAAAATAAAAAATTAAATACCCCTCCACAACACCCTACAAAATACCCCACCACCTAATCATGGACAGTGCCTGCAGAGCACACCGCAGCATAACACATCCAACTCAGCAAATAAAACTATTTTTGAAACTTCACACCTCCTGTGCTTTCTTGCAATGTTACCAGAGGATAAACTTAGTATCAACATGACACACATTCCCCAGGAACAGACAACTGTAAAAATCTGATTTTTTAAAATGGCAAACCATCCCCTTGTTTAATATGTATTATAAAGATATGAGATGGGCTGGATTAACTACTTTCCAAAATTCTGAATCTAGGAAGCTCATTTTAATTAAACCTAGAATGGGCTAATATTTTAAGAGGACGCAGGAAAATAAAATTACAAGTCAATCAACTGTCATTTACTCTACATTATGCAATTGGTAAAAGACTTACATGAAAGCCATCTTCGACCACTTCAGCATCACTGTGCAATGGTGGACAACCTGTGGAAAAATGAAAAGTATTTATTTTACTTGCTTCTCTTTATATTGCTTAAGTCATTCTATCTGAACTTTGAGTAACCACGTAGGACGTAAAAACTGAACTAAATACTAAGTCCTTTAAATATGTAGATAAAATTACTTTATCATTTATGGTGACAAGCCTATAATACAGGTTCTTAGTATTTCTGATGCTCCTGTTAGCATGGTCTTTTAACTAGCTTGCAATTCTGCTTTTGCTGTGTTTTTACAATCATGCATCATAGACTCATAGAATAGTAAAGGGACCTTGAGGTCATCTAGTTCAGTCCCCAGCACTCATGGCAGGACTACATATTATTTAGATAATCTCTGACAGGGTTTTGGTTAACCTGTTCTTTAAAAAAAAAAAAAAGATAGATTCCACAACCTCCCTAGGGTAATTTATTCCAGCGGTTAACCACTCTGACCCTTACAAGGTTTTTCCTAATGGCCAACCTATGCCTCCCTTGCTGCAATGTAAACCCACTGTCCTATTCTCAGACACTAAGAACAACAATTTTTTTCCCTACTGCTTGTAACAACTTTTATGTACCAGAAAACTTATGTCCCCTCTCAATCTTCTCTTTTCCAGACTAAACAAACCTATTTTTCAAATCTTCCTTCATAGGCCATGTTTTCTTTAATTACAGGCAGTCCCCGGGTTACGTACAAGATAGGGACTGTAGGTTTGTTCTTAAGTTGAATTTGTATGTAAGTCGGAACTGGTACATATTGTAGGGGAAACTCTAGCCAAACATTTCTCCAGAGCTCAGTTTTATTCTCCCACACCTCACTTCCCTCAGGCCTTTATTCTCAAGCTGAGGTGTCTGCTGAGAAAAGCCGCTCCGCGTCTCCCTGGTCTGCTGGGGGGAAGCAGCTAGTGCGGGGTTGCCTCACCCCGTTTGTAAGTAGGGATCCGATGTAAGTCGGATCCATGTAACCCGGGGACTGCCTGTACTTCTGCTGCTCTTCTTTGGACTTTCTCCAATTTGTCCACATCTTTCCTGTAATGTGGTGCCTAGAACTGGACACAATACTCCTGTTGATGCCTAATCAGCATGGACAAGAGCAGAATTACTTCTCATTTCTTACTTATAACACTCTTCCTAATACATCCCAGAATTATTATTTTTTAACAATATTATAATGTTGACCTCCAGCTCCAGATCTCTTTCCACAATACTCCTTTTTAAACAGTCATTTCCCATTTTTCTTTGTGAGCGCAACTGACTGTCTTTTCCTAAATAGAGTACTTTTGCGTTTGTCCTTATTTAATTCCATCCTGTTTACTTCTGACCATTTCTCCATTTTACTCAGGTCATTTTTAATTTTAATCCTATTCTCCAAAATATTTGCAACTTCTCTCAACTTGTTACTATCCACAAACTTTATAAACATATGCTCTCTGCCATTAGCAGAAAACAAAAAAGAACAAAAAACAGACACACCAAGGAAGATATTGAACAGAACAGAACAAGACCCAGAACTGTATGCCCTTCTATCATTGAACTATTGAGGACTACTCTCTGGGAATGGCTTTCCAACCATTTATGCACAACCTTACAGTAGCTCCATCTAGGTTATATTTCCCCAAGTTGTTTACGAGAAGATTGTGTGAGACTATATCGAAAACCTTATAAAAGTCAAGACATACCACATCTACACCACTTCTCCCCTCCCATAAAGGTTGTTACCAAAAGAACATAAGAATAGCCATACTGGGTCAGACCAAAGGTCCATCTAGCCCAGTATCCTGTCTGCCGACAGTGGCCAGTGCCAGATGCCCCAAAGGGGGTGGACTGAAGACAATGATCAAGCAATTTGTCTCCTGCCATCCTAATAGCCTTTTATGGACCTAACGTCCATGAATTTATCTAGCTCTTTTTTAAACTCTGTTATAGTCCTAGCCTTCACAGCCTCGTCCGGCAAGGAATTCCACAGGTTGACTGTGCGCTGTGTGAAGAAGAACTTTCTTTTATTAGTTTTAAACCTGCTACCCATTAATTTCATTTGGTGTCCTCTAGTTCTTATATTATGGGAACAAGTAAATAACTTTTCCTTATTCACTGTCTCCATACCACTCATGATTTTATTTCATTTCATTATTTTATTTCTCTATCATATTCCCCCTCGGACTCCTCTTTTCTAAACTGAGAAGTCCCAATCTCTTTAGCCTCTCCTCACATGGGATCCGTTCCAAACCCCTAATCATTTTAGTTGCTCTTTTCTGAACCTTTTCTAATGCCAAAATATCTTTTTTGAGGTGAGGAGACCACATCTGTATTCAAGATGAGGGTGTACTATAGTTTTATATAGGGACAGTAAGATATTCTTTATCTTATTTTCTGTCCCTTTTTTAATAATTCCTAGCATCCTATTTGCTTTTTTGACTGCCGCTGCACTGTGTGGACATTTTCAGAGAACTATCCATGTGAACTCCAATATCTCTTTTCCTGATTAGTTGTAGCTAAATTAGTCTCCATTATGTTGTATGTATAGTTTGGAAAAAATAACCCCATGTGCATTACTTTACACTTATTCACATTAAATTTCATTTGCCATTTTGTTGCCCAATCACTCAGTTTGGTGAGATCTTTTTGAAGTTCTTCACAATCTGCTTTGGTCTTGACTATCTTGAACAGTTTAGTATCGTCCACAAACTTTGCCACCTCACTGCTTACCCCTTTCTCTAGATCGTTTATGAATAAGTACCCTGTCAAAGAAAGCTACTTGGCTGGCTTTACACAATTTATTTTAAGAGGCAGGTAACTGGCTAATCATATAGTCAATACAATTTGTATCCACTACACGATTAGTTGATAAGGGAAGTCACTTAGTCCCAGCTTGTGCCAGGTCTAGGAGCTACCCCTGCTACGGTTCTGCAGTTTAAATGTAGTAAGAGCCGGGTGCACGGTGGTTGGGGCTGGCCACAAACAGAAGCTACTGGTAACCCCCTCCGAGGACAAGGGCTGCTTCACGGGATGCAGAGCAGCCTCCCTTGCCCACCCCCGTGCTGCTGTTTCTGATACAGAGGAAGCAAAGGAGCGGAGGGGAGCAGGGGGGAGAGAGAGAGGAGGGGAGAATACATCTCTAATTTATTCTTGATAAATTCATGCTGTTATTAGGGATGTAAAAAGTAGTTTAAAAATGTAACTGTGTAACTGCTAAAATTCTAGCGGTTACACATGTTGCGGCCTCTTAAGTGCACAGCTTGCCATCTTTGCTTCCTGGGGAGCCGGTGGTGGCAGGCTGGGAGCTGCTCCAGCCCCTACCAGTTAACAATTTACATCCCGAGCTGTTATTTATCACCTTATTATCTTCTAGATGTTTGCAAATTGCTTAATTATTTGCTCCATTATCTTTCCAGATACAGAAATAAAGCTGACTGGTTTGTACAGGATGACTGATTTAAATCATGATTTAAATAACAAGTTAGGAAGACTTAATGTAATCATGGTTTTCTACATAAAAGTGCATTCTTGTTGGCTGTTATAACCTTAATACATACTCTTTCCAACTCAGATAAATGTAGGTTTCATTTTTAGAAAGTACACGCTATACATTTTAAAACAGTTATTTTGAAAACTTTTCAGATTAGTTTTATAGTTGTATCAGAAAATGAATAACTGTTTATTTCATTTACCAAAGGTAACTGAAGAAGATATTTATGAAGTCATTGGGAGGTGAACTATGTCCAATTCACCAGGTTAATCATTAATATTTGAAGGATTTTCTTGCCATGCTGTATTAAGAGGAAAACACCACTAGTCAGACATTTAAATTGTTTTATTTAACTAACATTATGTATTGTGGATTTTTTCTTCAAAAGCAAACATATGATATTTTAACACAACAAACATATGCATTTTTTAATTTAAACATTCAAGTTTTTAAAATCAAGTTTGTTTTTAACGAAAATAGTTAAATGAAATATTCAAAAAAATAAAATAGACTATGGCACCCAGGTCAAAACAAGAAACTTAAAATACTGGCTTCTGCAGATAACTTAGTAGTCTTCACATTCATTTGCTTGTTTTTTCATAATAAGGAAAAGAAAAACAAGCTTTCCTGGTTTTTCAGGTCCCAATTGATTTCTCAATTTGGAATGAATTAGTCCAAAGGAAGAAAATATTCTTTCTACTCTGGCAGAAGAAGCTAGTGCTGTTAAAAGTGAGATCATCACTTCAACAGTCTCTGAATCCAAGTGCTTCCACCAGTTCAGTGATGTGACTTTCCTTAAGACAGTGGTCCCCAACCTTTCTGGGCTACCGCGCGCCCGTGGCCAGCGCCGCCCACACGCTGCACTCCTGGGGCCGGCGCCGCTCCCGTGCTGCACAACCAGGAGCCAGCAGTGCCCATGCGATGCACGCCTGGGGCTGGCGCCGCTCCTGTGCCACGTGCCCGGGAATAGGGACGCTCATACGTCACGCGCCCTGGGCCAGCATAGCCCATGTACCGCGTGCCCGTGGGTGGGGCTGGCCCTGATCACTCGGCGGGTGCACAGAAAAGGCCCAGTGGGCGCTATGGCGCTCGCGGGCACCGCATTGGGGACCACTGCCTTAAGACATAATCATCAAACATATATTTCCTGAATAATTCACCCTTAGCTCTGAAGTTTATTATTGTTGGCATTATGGAGGGAATGACTGCTGGATGTCCATGTCATAACCAATTCCTCTTCTTCAGCAGTTAAAGTTTGACCCTGATACCAAGTATCGAGAATATTTGCAAGAAAACGAGCTGGAGATGGTGTTTGTCCCATTCATTTTTTAAATGGTTGTAATTTAACTCTATTGTTACATATCTCTCTTTTTAAGATCTTTTTCAGTTGCTTCTAAATTTCAACGGCATCAGCAATAAAAGTTATTTCCCTGCATTTTGTTCAATGCTACAGAACTAGGCATCAGGGTACTCTGAAGGGGTTCAACATTTCTTTTCAGCCCAATTTTTAACTTGTTCTAAGTAATTTCTCTAGTTGCCTACTTATTTGCTTTCCTCTTCTTCACATGTAATAGCTTTATTTTCAGAAACCTCTACTGTGATTCAGAATTAAGAGAGCACCCTTTTTTGGATTAAAAGTTTTATAGATGTTTCAAGTATTAAAATGTATTTTGTGCTACTCCTTCATACTATAATCTTGCAACTCCCAAAGTTATGCTTTAGCTGCATGAAATGGTAAAAAGGCAATATGTTGCATGTATCTAAAGACAAAAATATTTCCTTTGAGAAGTAATTTTGGAACACAGGTTGTACCTCCCTTAACTGTGACTCTTTGATCTGGCAACATCCGTGGTCCGGTAGGACCCCAGACATTCCTGGATCACAGAGTCCAGGTACAGGGAGGTCTTCCCAGGGGCAGGAGTGCAGCACAGGGGGATGGCAACTCAGCCAGGACCCCCAGTGTGTGTTGGGGGTGGGAGGAGCAAGCGGGGTGTTCTGGCCACAGCAGCTGGGCAATAGCAGGGGGCTGGCGCCAGCTGTGTAGCTCTGGCCCTGGCAGGACTAGTGGGAGCTGGAGAGCTCAGGCTCAGGGAGTGATAGCTGGCCAGGCATCAGTGGAGTGGGCTGGAGCCTTAGCTGGGGTGGGAAGAGGAAGCAGATGTTTAACATGGGCCAGGAGAGGAGGGACTTCTCCTGGTCTGGCAAATCCCCTTGTTTGGGACTAGTCAGGTACAAAGGTGCCAACCAGGGAGGTTCATCCTGTACCATCATTTTCTTTCATACAGCTCAGCTCATTTTAACAGAGCAAAACAATTAGCACTATGCCTTTCAAGTAGGGATGTTAAATTTAGTTTAACTGGCTAAATGAATAGTCGATGCAATTTGCATTGACTATTCAATTAATCAATAAGCGCGCCTCCACCAGGGCTGTTGCTACACTTTAAAGGTGAAAGTGCTGCGGGGAGCATGGGCTCAGCGGGGAACTCAAGCAATCCCCCACTGGCCCCGTGCTCCCCACAGCATTTCAAAGCAGCAGCACCACATGGAGCCCAGGGTCAGCTGGGGACTCAGACTCATCAGCTGGCCCCAGGCTGCATGTGGCGTTTCAAAGCAGTAGTGCAGTGTGTAACCTGGGGTTTGTCCCTGGGCTCTGTCCCTGGGCTCTATGTGGCGCTGCCACTTTGAAGCACCCCCTTCTCTTCCCCTCTCCTTGCTGCTTCTATCTGATAGAAGCATTGGGGGTGGAGGTGAGGGGGGGAGAGGGAGAAGTAGTTAGTTGACTAGTGTGCTGACTATCCGATAAGCATTTGTTTACTGGATAGTTGACTACTCATTCACATCCCTGCTTTCAAGTACTGTATGCACTTTTATTAGCGCTTCTTCATGCACATAAAAAAAAGATACTGAGAGATTTACATAGAATACCAAACTCTCCATTGTTTGACTTTCTCTTTTAGAGGTCTGAAAGGAACATTACCTCCCTTTTCCATTGGCAAATATTAATTTTACCCTCACCCTATTGTGTTTCCACCTTTATTTCACTGTCATTCTTGTGCACTTAGTTCCTATGACAGACAGAGCACAGCTCTGGGATTTTCTGTTAATTAGACCGTTACTTGAAATTTTTCATGAGACATTTTTCAATAGATCCTATATAAAATTTGTGCATTCAGTTATTTTGATAGAATCATTTATAAAAATACTATGAAGTAAGCAGCTCAACGAAGGAAGTAACCTTAAGGGTGTCTGACCATTTAGATACACAGTTCACATGCTAAAAACAAATAAACTGATATACCCGCAAGAGCCACTAGTATGGAAGCACTTATATGCATCAACATGATCAACAAATGGGAATGATATATTTGTAATGAAAAAGGGACTGGGAATTTACTGATATGGACAAACCAGTTCCACCACAAGTCTCTGGCATGCTCTGGGTAAGTCAGTGAACCTTTCTGTGCCTCGGTTTCCTCATATGTAAAATGGAGCTAATACTTCCTCATTATACAAGGATGTTTTGAGAATTAGGATTCTTGGATGTAACGTGTAGAGAAATTCCAAGTATTAACAACCTATCTAAATGTTATACCCATAGTATATAGTGAACCAACTTAAATTTTTAAATAACTTAAAAGTATTAAATCAAAACACATTTTATGTCATTTCACATGGCTAAAATGGGTAAGTTTTTAAAAAACCCAAAGCAAGACACATACCTTGAGAGAGATCTTCTACAGCTCTACGGATGCCTCTGTCAAAAGCTCGTGCATCAGCAGGACTCTGGAACGTAAGGCCAAACTTCTTGTCATCAATCTTCCAGTGATGAAAAGTTGGGGTAACTTTGTTGTAAATGAGGTCCTTCTTTAATGTACATTCCAAAACCACCTTCCAAAATCCAAGAGGAAAAAAAATTAATTATCTGAAAATATCACGACGTTTGTAAAGAATGGATATTCAGTATACATCTTTGGAATTTTACTTGAAAAATGACTTCTTAGTCCTTGTTTAATTTTCCCCCAGTACAAGCAACTAAGACCAGGTCCACATTACAAATGTTAGCCAATATAGCAACATAATTAAGGAGTAATATTCTTTAGTGACATTTCTATACCAACAAGAACCCTACTCTTGACATCCCCTTCCAACATGAAAAGCTTTGCAATGTATCTTATTTTACTTACCAAATCGGTATAAGCTATGCTTATACTGTCAACCAATCTCATAGCTTTCTTTGATAGGATAACAAGCCTTGTGGATAAGGAAGAAGCGGTGGATGTGGTATATCTAGACTTTAGTAAGGCATTTGATACAGTCTCGCATGATTTTCTTATCAATAAACTAAGCAAATACAACTTAGATGGGGCTACTGTAAGGTGGGTGCATAACTGGCTGGATAACCACTCTCAAAGAGTAACTAACAGTTACTCTCAAAGAGTTACTAACAGTTCACAATCCTGCTGGAAGGGCATAGCAAGTGGGGTTTCGCAGGGGTTTGTTTTGGGACCGGTTCTGTTCAATAACTTCATCAACAATTTAGATATTGGCATAGAGAGTATTAAGTTTGCAGATGATACAAAGCTGGGAGGGGTTGCAACTGCTTTGGAGGATAGGATCATGATTCAAAATGATCTGGACAAACTGGAGAAACGGTCTGAGGTAAACAAGATGAAATTTAATAAGGGAAAATGCAGAGTACTCCACTTAGGAAGGAACAGTCAGTTTCACACATACAGAATGGGAAATGACTCTCTAGAAAGGAATACAGTAATTCCTCATTTAACACTATAGATGCATTTCTGAAAATGTTCGTGCTAAGTGAAAACATGCTATGCAGGGTCAATTTTCCTATTAAAAATAATGGAAAAGGTGGGGGCCGTATTTCAGGTGGTGGTGGTGGTGGCGGCGGTGGTGGCAAAGTAAATTTTTTGTTGGTGCTGGGTTGTCAACGTTAACATTAGATATCTAGCAACATAAGTTAACTAGCAACACAAGTCGCCGCAGTTTGTTAAAACACGAAGATAAACACGTGAGTGAGCGGAGGAGCGCTGTGACCACGTGTATTACCACTGTTTTCACCAGCTTATACTGCTGCATGAAGTAGTCCACCACTTGATTATTTTCGTGTTATTTTGGGAATGGTCATGTTATTCGAAAAAATGTTCCATAAAAAAAAAATCGTGTTATTGCGAAAACGTATTAAGTGGGCATGTGTTAAACGAGTAATTACTGTACTGCAGAAAAGGATCTAGGGGTCATAGTCGAACACAAGCTAAATATGAGTGAACAGTGTGATGCTGTTGCAAAAAAAAAAGCAAACAATTCTGGAATGCATTAACAGGAGTGGAGTGAGCAAGACACGAGAAGTCATTTTTCCACTCTACTCTGTGCTAATTAGGCATCAACTGGGTATTGTGTCCAGTTCTGGGCACATTTCAAGAGAGATGTGGAGAAATTGGAGAAGGTCTAGAGAAGAGCAACAAGAATGATTAAAGGTCTAGAGAACATGAGCTATGAGGGAAGACTGAAAGAATTGGGCTTGTTTAGTTTGGAAAGGAAAAGACTGAAAGGGAAAATGATAAACTTAAAAAACAACAAATAGTCTAACAAAACATGCAGATGGTATCATGAGATTCTACATAAACAAAGAACCATTGTTGCCTTCATTGTTTGGTAGGTTGATAATGACTCAGCCATCCAGTATCTTTATTCAAGCCATAGGTGTGAGAATCCAACTTGTGAATGAATTGTAGTTCTAGTCCTTCCCTGTGTATTTGGCTTGTGGAGTTGGTCTGTAACAAAACAGCTACTTGAAGATCTGTTAATGCATGCACAGAAAGATAGCAGTTTTCAGGTATCTAAAAAGGTGTCACAAGGAGGAGGGAGAAAAATTGTTCTCCTGGGCCTCTGAGGATAGGACAAGAAGCAATGGGCTTAAACTGCAGCAAGGGAGGTTTAGGTTGGACATTAGGAAAAACTTCCTAACTGGTCTCCCTTGTGAAATCTGTACAGTATAGGGTAAAAGCACACAAAAGATCAGATATCACATGGAGAGACCAGATTTCATGTTACATGATGTGTTTTTCATTGCTGTGAATTTGGTTGGGCCCTAACCATAATCCATGGACCTCACTCACAGATGTTAGGTTCCGTTTGCTATACCATGCACATAATTAATCTGGTATAATACTTTTTTTTTTAAAAAGTAGAATTATTAATTTGAATTTCCCATGTAATTTTTTTTCCTTTAAAAAGAATGATTTAGTAATCTACCACCCCGGAAGCTAAATATTCATTCTTTCAGATAAACTGTACATAAATTGCTTCCGTGAATCTGGCCAGAAAAATGCCATTTAACTATCATCAGCTATTATTACCAGCATCTAATTCTGCATCACATAATGCTTATTTTTCCCTAGTTGAGAGAGACAGAGAGAATTCAAGAGACAGAATGCAACCACTCGTGTGTGTGTGTGTGTGCGCGCGCGCCGTGAACAGATATTATTGTTTGCTAGGTTTTTCTTCATCCCAACTAGCCTAGCTTTTCAACCTAAATTAACATTTCATTGGTTTGAATGCCATAGTCTCATAACAGTTATAGTAGAGAACCTATAGAATTCATAATATAGAATAGATGAAACACCAAAAGGTTACAGAACTAAAGCTATTATACTTTTAAAAAATAAAAACAGAGTATTACAAAGAACCATAGATAGATAGATAGATAGATATGCTCAAAGTAACAAGGTTTAGACCCCAGAAGAATAAATTTCTAAGTATATTAAACAAAGTGATGTGGTTTTCCTTTCTATCATTATAAAAATCAACATTCATTTTATGTTCTTTTGTTAACTGCCATTCTTGAAACTTTGCTTAAATTGGTAAAAGGGTTTGAAGCAATTTTTGTTTGACCTGGGAAAGCAAGTCTAGACTGAAATACGAATTCATCTTCTGTCAAACAATTTCATTTATTTTACAAAAGATAAAAACTTAAGATACCTTTTCACTATACAGGAAAAAAATCAGCAAATGATTTCTATTTTCAAAAATCATTAAAATGTGGGAAAAAGAAAAAGCAGAGAAATGTTTCTTTTTTAGAAACTCTGTAGGCACATGTAAGAGAATAAATGGTGACTCACTATGCTATTAGAACAATCTACCTACAATCATTGGATATAACTGCACGAAGCAAAAAATACTTAGGTTTGCAGTTGTGAGGTCATCTTGGCCAAATGTGGCTCTTATCAATGCCAAGACAATTATCAATGCCAAGACAATCTTCCACTGTGTTGCATTAGTAACTGACACAATTGGCAGGGCATACTTGGTATGAACACGTAACTAGTCTAGTTTAAAACATTGCATTAGACCTTGCTATAACCAGTTAATTTCTAAGGGGTAGTCAGATGCCCTTATTCATGCTAAGCAATGAATAGCCTGATGTAGTGATGTTAAAAAGCGTTTAATACAGTAACTGTGTAGCTGTTAAAAATTGTTGCTTAGCTTTATGCTGCAGAGCCCACAGCGAAGATGCCTCCCCAGGAGCTGGCTGAATTAAAGTTTAATTGATACAATTAACTGAGAAGCATCAGCTTATTAGTTAAACAATTAGTTGGTTAAACTCTAACCTCTCTAGCCTGATCTAAAGATGTTCTCAATTCATAGGAACTTCTTTGGGTGGAATATAATGGTCTATACTAGTGTATTTAGGCTACCCAATGTTAAGAAAGGATTATAATTTGAAGACTGAAGGTACCTATGTACCTCTGACCTCTTCCTGCACTGACGCGGAGATAGGCTCACAGCCATATGCAGAGTAACAAAAGATGCAGATCAGCTCAGCTCAGCTCTGGGAAGGCTCAGTGCTCAGTTACACTGCTCCAATGAGACCTAAACTCAAATAAATCCGTCTTATTCAGTACTAAGTTTTATACGGAGCAAGTCCACCCTCTTTCTTATGTAAAAAGATGTGCACATCTGATTGCTCCCCCTCAGTAATTACATTGCTTTTATTAATAAAAAGTGATTTTATTAAGTATAAAAAGCAGCATTTAAGTAGTTACCAATACACTAAGAAAAAAGTAAGTTATTAAGCCAAATAAAATAAAGCATGCCAGCTAAGCCCAATACACTAAGAAACTTGTTACCTTACCCTAACTGTATTTCTAATCATCTTCTTTAACAGACTGGAAAGCGTCCCTATCTGGGCTTGATTCTTCCCAAGATTACTGCAGGAAACATCTAAGACTGAATAGGTGGGTAGTAAGCAGGGGTGTCCCTGGCAGCAGTCCCTATTGTTTGGCTTCTCACCCTTATATAGTTTTTGCCAAAAGCAGGAATCCTTAATGTTCAGTTTAAACTTTTTCTCATTTTTAGTAAAAAAGTACAATGTCCAAGATAGGTGCCAGTATCTGGTGACATGACCACATGTCTTTGTGGGGACTCTGAGCCCATCCTACATACTGGGCCATAGGAACAACAAACCCATGTATTGACCTTATCTATGAGACATTTCTGAAATACCTTTAATGGCTCTCACTTAACATGTCTATATTAGTAAAACAGGTTTATACTTCATATTTCTACCGTGAAATACAGGAATGATATATGCACACAAATAGAATATATACCTTCAGCAGATTATAACTTTTCAAATGATACCTACACATAGTATTTTGCATAAAGCATTTCCCAGTTATGCATATTCATAAGTATCTTTGCATAAATAATATGGCTAAAAACCCCCCCCACAACCCCTTTTAGAATCCATAGTTTGATTCACTCTCCTTCAATACTTCAGAAAATACAAAAAGTTATTCTTGAAGAAGGCCCAGATAGAAGGAAAGAATTTCCATATGCTTCTCATATTTTTTTTTTTGGAGGGGGGG